TCAGTTCAAGGATCAAGCAGGTGAGCATTCTTTTTATGTTCTACGCTATTCTTGGCGCATTTGCTATCTTTCAGGCTAACTTTTGGGCAAATTATGGGTAAAGTGACTTGCTCTTTGTTCTTGAGCGATCAAAGCAGAGTTTTTGGGATAGTATGCACCCATCATTCTATGATTGCGCCATGCGAATGCACAGTCTCCATTGAACCTAGAGTGGTGAGAAGTAATGAGGAATTTCTTTAGACTCACTTCTTCTCGGATGGGCTCCTCTTGGTGAAGTAAGGCACATAGCGCGTCGCTACTTCGAAATCCAACAGCATGAAATGGGATCTTTGAAAAGATGCATAGCACAGTGCACATACATGTAAGTCGTAGGTACAAATCGCGCCGCGCGAAATTGCCGCTCTTCGCGTGCGACAAAAGTGCACGGCAACCGTACCGAGGAAATTGTCGTACACTTTCTGGGGGCGGATGCCGCAAGGAACGTCAGGGGATGGGTCCCCAAACTCTGCATCTCTGGACGTATCCCCCTATTCTTAACTGCGTCATAAACCGGAGTAGAGTAGCAGTTTTGGAGATCCATTCCCGGCCGGGTCTTGTTGCACCCTGCCCCTGGCCTATTACGTGCGATGTAGGCTATTTACATAAGTCAATATACCGTAGGCAACATGTTCTTATTCTGCTCGGGATCCATGGATAGCCTGACTATGTTAATCATGCTGCAATCTCACTCATCCAGGCCGGCTACTATCGTAACCAGTAGAGTGATAAGAATACTAGTTCTGACTGATTTTGATGTACTTTAGATAAAGCAAAGAGTCGTGAGAAGGAATTCCCACCAGCACCGACACCACCACCGCCTCTACCTATGGATCTAGGTCGGAAACCATCTCACGGTTAGTCGCTTCATATAGGTCCAAAATTTTCCTAAAACACCAAGAATGAGCCATTTCAATCAGTCTCCTTGCATCTGTACATATATCTGCACTACTCTCACTCGAGTTCGATTGCGAGGTCACGGCGCGGCGACAAACACGACAACAGCGACGCGCGCTAGTGCGGCAATCAATTCGTTATGATTCATGCAGGTTGCCGCGCAGTGACCTAACAATATGATCGAAAAATCCAAAAAAATCGATCAGTATATGACCATGCACATTGTACTACTGTACGTATTAACCTACTGTACGCATGACATGACTTTTGTACTCAGATTTACGTCACATAATCCATTTTCTAGGTGAAAGTCCACGTTTCAGACCGCGATGAACGTGATCTGTTATATCCGTTTGGAGATAGCCTCCTACTGCCTTTTCACCGACACGGTCCAATACCGCACTCCTCTATAGGTCTCCTTGTCAGCACGATAGTAGTTTATGATCACTGATGATGTGTTTTGACGTCGAGTGTGGCCATGCCAACGAGAATCTGCGATACGATTACGATCCGTATAGACTGAACTAGCTGACCTCACTCTATTACTGAGTAAGTGATGGCTTTCTGCTTGCAGCCCCGCCTACGACATCTGATACGGAGCCTGTTTTTGTGGCATAATTCTGGAATGACCGCGCGCGCGGAGTGTATATGAAGGACTCCATAGACGCTCCCTCCGCCCCCCCTCGACGATTCACTAGTTGGATATAATATAATGCCGGTTCCTTTTTAGAACCCGATCGGGCCGGCTCGTCAAACAGGCAACGTGGACAACCAACCCTCCCACCAAGCCGATGATGACTTTCCTTACGCCTCCTTGGAAACGATGTAATCCACAAACACTTCAACATGGCTAGCGATTGCATGCCTTCAACAATGCGTGATGTTAGCCCAGGCGCCTCCCCGGACCATCGGACGGCACCAAGGCCCAAGGAAGTGGAATGTCAGCATCGTTAAATCACAATTTTATTCTTCTACTATTCATTTGGACACTTGTGGACAATTTTCGATATAGCAAAAGCGACGAAGAGATTACACGATTGATTAAATTAAATCGGAAAATATCAATAATAGACGCGAGCAGGATAACGCGGCGTCAGTGGCGTGACTCTGCCATTCATGAGCACATTCCACTACAACTTCACCGGCCTTTTCTGAACGAGTATAGTGCCCCGTAGAAGGGGTCGAGCGATGCATTCGCGATCTGTCCACGTAGGACCGTAAAATTAGGATTCCAATGGTGCCTCACAGCACCTCAGAATAGAATGCGTGCGCGACGAATGCTCTGAATTCCGTGCCTGCTGCGGGCTCAATCATAGGACTTACTCCCCGACCCCAACGAGTACCGTCGTGTCTTTTTCGCAGTGCCGTAAAGCCTGATGTTCTGGTGCCCAAGTGCCTCTGCGAACCCGAGTGAAGTGTGACCCGTTTGATGTTGACAAAGCTATACCTGACAAGCGACATATCGAGTAGCTTGCGCGATAGTTGTCGACAGGCAGCACCATAGTCAAGTCTGCTGGCACGAAAACAAAGTATTTGCAACTTCATATTCACAATCAGGCATAAAACTGACATGCACATTACAACTAAAGAAAACTGTAAATCATTAGAAAAGAAAAGGAGCACAGAAGTAAACTACGATCATTGATTAACTCTCGATTGATAACATAAGAAACAGATACATACAAGAATAACTCCGTTGTAATGACTAACTACCCCTATTATTGTGAAACAAATGCGAAAACCTGGCTTAAGATCAACTGTAGATTTACTGAGTAAAAAAATGAAAGTGACTGCTGTTTGTACGACTAAAGCAGATATGAGGGATAAAAGCCCTGCGAGGGCGCATAGTTAAGTAAGGGCAAGAACGCGCCCTTCAACGGACTCGAACGAACGACACTAGACGAGGCGCACCGTCAATGATTGCATCATGCCGGACTGACTATGCTTTTCGCGGGCGATTTGATGGCGACAGACAGCCGGGGTCTGTCCCATATATACACTGCGTTCAATAATGATACAGCCACCTAAAATTTGTTCGAAAACTTAAAGTTCATAGAGTTTCTGAAAAACTGTCCAGATAGAAAATGTGACAAATTTCATGGCGAGTTCAGATATCAACACAAAAATCCATGTTGAAAACACTAAAAAATTTTGTGCTATTTTTTCAGAAGAGGTCGATTTTCCTATGTTCAAAAATGATACAGCCACCCCGTGTTTCTTCGTTGAAATTCATTTTTGCTTCATGAAACTGATTCGCAGTTATCAGGCTTTCACCTTAATGTTCCCACAAGATAAAAAAGACAGTTAGTTTTGAAAAAAGGGTAAACTGTAGCAAAAAAGGACCAGGAATCGTCAAGCAGTCATATTGCGCAAAAATTGAGTCAAAGCTCCAATACGGTTAACAATCTTTTCTGGAATCCTGTAGGTTATGGAACAAAGAAGAGCTCTGGATGTTCATCATTGCTTTTTGGTCAATTTAAACTTCGCATTTTGGGGAAACATTTCATCGAACAGTGCCCGGAATTCCAGTCTTCTTTCAGAATTAAACTTTCAATGGATATTGTTTGGGATGTGTTGAAGATTTTCCGAGGTCATTCTTCAATGGAGAATTAAAGAAACCTTGTTTGTGAAAAGAAATTCTCTCGAAAACTGAGACATTTTTTGCTCGAAAGCCACGTCACTGGAGCAAGATCAGTTTTTTTTGTCCGCCGGAAAACAGTGAGAGAAACCAGACATATAGTAAGGCATAACGGACAAAAAAAACTGATCTTGCTGCAGTGGACGTGGCTACACTTTCCAACAAAAAATCGTGCGCAACTCACGACACCTAGGACGCGGCTATCCTATTGTTTGCATGTTCTCACTGTAATAGTGGAAAGACATCTTTGCAGGACCACCTGGACCTCCTGGACCTCCGGGAGAACCTGGATACGTTCAACAAGAATCGCCATATGGTGGTCCAGTCCAAGCACTCCCTGGACCACCTGGAGTTGCTGGCCCACCCGGTCCACCTGGCCCACAAGGAATCCAAGGTAAGCTGATGGAGCTAGAAAATGGGACCTTGGAGGTACAAGTGGATAGAGCAGCGCTGAAAAAATTGTGATTTCACTTCGAAAAGGGAAAATTGAGGAGACAAGTAATCAAACGGATGCATTTGTAACCATGGTACGGCTACCTCTACCAGATTACTTTCAGGCCCTAGAGGCGAAACTGGCTATCCCGGTCGTGATGGCCGCGACTTCCAAGGCCTGTCCGATCGCGATATCGAACTGATCGTCAGACATCCAATG